TCAGCTGCTCCTCATAAGATCTGTGCTCCAGCACCTTCACCAGCTTCATTGCCCTTCTCTGGACACGCTCCAGCACCTCAATGTCCTTCTTGTAATGAGGGGATAAAACTGGACACAGTAGTTAAGGTGCGGCCTCACCAGTGCCCAGTACAGGGGCACAGCCATTTCCCTGGTCCTGCTGGCCACCCTTTTTCTGACACAAGCCAGGATGCCATTGGCCTTCTTGGCCACCTGTGCACACTGCTGGCTCTCATTCTGGTCCATCAGATTATAAGCCACCTGTCATTAAAGCTGGTTAGAATGGGTTTTTTTAAGCTCCAAAGATGAAAGATAGCTCTACTTTGAAGAATTTATCCTTTCAAATCTTTAACTGCACCTCGTAACTCTGTCTGAGCTTGTTCAGGTCACTGCATCCAAGGTGAGCACAGCCTTGTAGGAAACACCCAGTAACCTGAATTGTTTGATAACTTTTTAAAACCACTCAGCAGTTTCAAGCCGTTCCTCTTTCCTCCCTCTGTGCCTCTCGTCTTCCCAGCACTGTTTCAACACATGCACAAAACACTGAAAAAAGAAAATCACAAAAGCTGGTTAGAAGTTGGAAGCTGGCTAGAAGCTGAGAGAGCATGGTAGCAGCTAGAAAAGGTAGTGGTGATTTCAGTAGGAGGTCTTTGGTGGGATGGTTTTGTTTTTATGCAGTCAGTACTGAATCAGCGCTATTATACAATGTGCTGTTGGAAGTGCTCTGTTCTGGCTGGAATGTTACACTGAGAAGTCCACTTGTCTGATGAGCACGCATTTGAAAAGATAGAGGTAACAGTTGGGGTTGTTCTGACCATTGTCCCAGTAAGGAGGGGTGATTTCAGTGGTACTAATATGGTGTAGTACTTAACATTCTTATTGTGATATTTATTATTGCTCTACTCCAACTTGAAGCTTGATACAGAAAAAATCTGAAACTTTCTGTAATTAAGAAGAAAATTGAGTGTAAGAAGACTATTCAGGCTTCTAGTTACATTTTTAATATCTAAAGTGACAGCTGATGTAGAAAGTTTTTTGTTAGTCTAAATCAAGAATTCATCTACCTATTAGTGTTTGTGGCTCCTGTCAGGGAATAGCAGACTTCTCTGTTTCAAATGAAAAAGAAACACTTTCTAATCAAGGTTCAATACATGAGAATTTTAGTATGTCCTGCCACTACTTTCAGTTTTGCTAGAACTTACTGACTACAACTTGGTAGAATTTAACTGGGGGGAGGAGTTTTACTTATTTTTTTGTTTGTTATCAGGTTGTTCTAGCTGCTATTAGAACCACTTCTTTAGATACAGTATTCTAAGCTGTGGTCACCAATTTTTTATTGCATTTAAGTTAAGAAAATTAGATATTATGACAAGAACTGTCTATTGCCAACTGAGCTTTAGTTTTCGAGGGAGCATGCCTGCTTGTCAGTGAGCTTGGATTTGTTCCACGTTCACTGGAAAACCAAAAGGTGGCTGACTAGTTCTGTAGTTTTTTCACTATTGCTATTATTTTCAAATATATTTGAGATGTACGAGATGACCCTTTTACACAAATATTTTTCTTTAATTCAGTGTTCTGATAGGTTCTCTGTTAGATTTTAGAGAATGAGTCTGAAGTTCAGAAAATCCTTGTAGGTTTTTTGACAAAGGGTAGAGAGTACTCAAGAGTTCAGAAATCATTGCTGTCGGTAAAGAATTGGACTGACACCTGATTTGACTTCTCCCAAAGCTCTGCTGAATTGATGAGGTAGTGGTTTTCACTCTGAGAGACTTCCAGATGCTTTGGAATATGCACGTTAACTGACAGGTGTTTAGGTTACTGTGATGATGAGCGTTTTGCAACTTACTCATCACAAGTGTGCCCCTGCCAGTTACTTGTTCTTTTTTCCCCAGAAAGAGTGGAATTTTCTTGGATGAAAACAAGTCAAAACTTCTGGTTTGTCTAAATTTGAAGCAGTGCTTCTCGTGGACATTGTCTTGCTGACGGCGTTCCAGTACTTGAGTAGTCAGCACTAACTATGTACCTGTGGTGAGGACAAGGTATTTTTTGTTCAGTGTTCTGGCTGTGATTAGACTGGCTTTTTTTTTTCTTTTTTTTTTTTTTTTGTAGTGACTCTCGTGCTTTGGCTTCTTTCCAACCATCATGCTAGCACTTCTGGTTGGCAGGAGCGCCTGTTGCTGTGCAGTGAACTGGGCCGAGGTACTGATCTGGCTGTAAACTGTGTTAGAACAAGTTGCACAAATGCTGTTGCCAGCACAACAGGGGTGGGTGTGAAAAAGGGCAATGAAATGATGGCAGGAGAGCGGTTGGGGCACTGCTGCTGTTCTGTGTGTCTGTAACACAGCTGCAGCCAGTCAGCCTTTCTCAGCTGCTTCTTGGAGTTCCTGGCAGTTTTGTGCTCTGCTTTCAAAAAGAAAATTTCGAGTCTACTTGTGCATTTCAGAAAGTCTGGAAATGCTGTGCCGAACCAGAAACTCTGAGTTTGGAGCGGATGTTCCCTACCTTTTGCCAGGCTTCTTAGGCACAAGTATCTGAATCAGAAGTTGATATTCTATGTGATGGTAAAACAGCAAGTTTCAGCTGTTGTGTTGGTACTACAGTTCTACTCTGGTATCTTGTTGTGTTTAGATACCTCCAACCTTTCCTATCCTGTCTGTGATGTGACACTGTATCTTCAGCTTCTGTATGAATTATGGTTTTTAGAGAACATCTGTGCTGTGGTTTCAAGCACTGGTACCTACAAAAAAGTTAAGTGAGCTCTGCTGTTTTCACATCTCTTGTCCCTTTTTAAGAAGCATCTCCTATTTGTTTAGCTGACCCTGAACTTGGAGGCGTAAGCCCTTCCCATGCCAATGGAAGTTCCACAGTTTAAGTCAATCTAAGGGGAAAAAATATGCATTTTACGGCCCTAAAAAGTAAAATGTTAAATGTTGGGATTGAATATTTGTTACAGCAATTCGATTTCTGCCTTATCTTTTCAGACATTTATCAAGTACGTTGTCTGACATGATTGGAGAATGATAAAACTGCAGTGTGCTTATAGTTGTCCATAAAGCAGGTGCACCATTTCTGCACTTGTAAAGAGCAGTGCAAAGTGAAGCTTCCTTGATAAACCAAAAGTTCTTAATGTCTATACAGATTATTTGCAGTTAAAAAGCTTGTCTTTCGTGAAAGGTGTTGTATGAATACCATCTTCTCAAAAATGAATCTGCCTTGAGATAAGGTCTAAAGCAAGGGACTTGCTTTAAGTATAGAGAACTAAGCTGTTACATCTTTTTTACAGTATTAATGCATATTTGTTTAATGATTTTTAAATAACTCTTCCACGCATGCTGAACAAATTGGGAGTTGAAATATATCTCAGAATGTATTATTAGTGTTGGCTGCATTCCTTTGATGTTGGCTAATACCTTTTGAAGAGAAAAATGGCCCATCTGTGCAGAATATAAAACCCAGTGCAAACTCCTGGCTTTAAGAATTAGAACATTTTTAATATTAAATTATAAGATAATCTGAAATTAATTTGTGCTTAAACAGCATAACTCTACATATAAACAAGCTCTGCTTTTATACTTCCTTGTGACTTTTTAAGGAAATTTACTTTCACTGAAAATAAATCAATGAGAATTATCACTTTACTGTGGCAGTAAAGTGAGTTCAATTCTGCTTATCATATTCTTAACCAAGTATCCACATTGTACAGTAGGATTGCAAATGGACAGGAAAAAAATACCTGATCACCTCCAAGTACTGTCCTGAGTCCCAGCCTCGGCAGTGTAACAGACACAAACCAAAAGAAATGCCCAACCAAACACCACTGGAGCTCTCATCAGCCTTAAATGTTGCTAGAAACTGAGAATGTTGTTCTGGTGATTGAGAGGAGCCTGGTAGCTGTTTAATAAGCTATAGAGTGGTATCATCAGGTGTTCTGCTCCTAAGTATGAACATATCACTACAGTGTTAAAACAACTGGTGATGTTTAACTTTTTGGTTAAATGATTAAACATTTTGGGGTTTAAGAAATCTTTTGAAAAAGTTCTATTTAATTGAGCAGAAATAATGTATTGTTAAAAATCATAGGCAGTAGGACTCTGAATCTGAAACCAGTTAATATTAACTTTTTTATTATTTCATAGATGTTAGTTTTAACATTTCAAAAATTGCTGTGCTCCTCCTCCAGTTTATCAGTCTTGTTGTAACAATGGATTTTCTCCAGGCATGAGCTGACAATTGTATTTGGCATTCTCATTGAAGTAGTTTCAACTCTTACGCTATGTATGTTATTGAAACTATGTTTTTCTGTGCATTTCTTTAGACTTCCTAGCAGGTTAGTTTTTTTCCCCCTCTTTCTTGCAGGATGTCTCTTGAGTTATTTTAAAACTGATAATCTTCCAGTTTTCTGAAACTAATATGCAATATCGGTTGTTTTTAATAATGGTGTTCTCCTATCTCAATTTCTGTACCTTTATTTTCAAATAACAGCACATAAAGCGAGTTAACTCTTGCTGAGTTTTAGTTTCAGTATGCTTAGTGTTGTTTTGTGAGATATTTTTTGAAGAACTATGAGGGAGAAATGTTTTAATTTAAGATTGTGCATTTTAACAGCTGAGATGATAGCAAATTAGTTTTGGAGCTTTAAGAACAGATTTCCATATGAACTTTTAATTTCTGCAGTATAACATTTTTGCAATGACAATATATTGAAGTTGTTTCATACTAGAGTAATTAGTATTTTGCGCTCTGGTGTGCTGTTTTCTTCATCACTCTTCAGGCTCAGTCTGTGTAGAGGTTTTTTTATATATTACACCTGTTAAGACAGGTATTTATTTATATACCTGTCTTAGCAACAGTGAGTATCAGCTTGAATAATGGTGGAATTTTATTCATATTTGTCCATGCAAAAGAAAGGTAGAATCTTTTATTTTACAAACAGTTGCTTGACTGCTGACTTTCACTTCTTCCTTTCCCTTCTGAAGTTGGTTGGTGGTGCAATGGAAGAAGCTGGATCTCGGGAGATGGGAATGAATACCAAGGATCAGCTGGTGAACAGCAAGTGCAATGAATTGTCTGATGCAGTGTTGCAGCACGTGCAGTCCAACTGCTGTGGCCTGGAAAACACGGGCGCACTGGGAGAAGCCGAGTATACCCCAAAGAACAGAAAGCACCCCGGGTCCATGTGCTGCTCTCAAGAGTCTCGGGAGGAGACTCCTGGGACAGAAGCAGCCCGCACTGATCCACCTGATGGCCAACAAGATCCAGAGAGCGAAAAACAAAAAGAGAAAACTTTGGGTATGTTGTCTTTGGCATTTTGATTTTTAAGTGGCTTTAATATTCTCATTAAATGGCTATGCATTTTCTCTGTCTTTGTCTCAAGTTTACTTTTAAGCCAAAACTTGTCATCTTTAGCAGGATATTCTGAGAAAATGTGTACTTGTGCTTAGGAAAAGTCAGTTCTTAATGCATATGTAAGGAGCCTACTGCTGGTAACACTATTTTTACAGGAACTTCAATAGTAATAGTATGGTAATCACTAATAGCCTTTTTAACTTTCTGGTTGTTGGATTAACTTTTAAATTTGGGATTGTGGTGTTCAATGCTACCAAAGCATTGCTGATACTTAAATTGCAAAGGCTTATTAAAAACACCTGTGTGAATATCCTTTATTAGCAAAACTTAACCTTTTAGGTTTCACTCTTTAGATTTTTCTTTTTATCTGTGCTGTTATAAAACAAACATTTTTGTGGTTTTAAAGTTAAAATAACTTTTGCTATCCAAGCTGTGTAATGGCACATTATCTTACTGTGATGACTTCCTATTTGTCATCCATTCGGATTATGCGGCTATCAAACCAGAGAACAACTTAGCTCACACTAATTTCTCATGGTTCTATATTTTACTTCTAAAGACAGGCTGCTTTTGTGGTATGTTTTTCCTCAGTATAGTTGTCTTTCATCCAATTCACAGGAAAAGAAGTGCTATTATTGATGCAAGCCTTGAATACACTTTCTACTCCAGAAGAAAAGCTGGCAGCTTTGTGCAAGAAGTATGCTGATCTGGTAAGTAATTTATAAAGATAGCAGGAGTTATTCATGTGTTAATATTAACTGTGGAATGCAGGAACTTCTAATACAGGGCAGTTAACAATTTTGAATGTTTCACAGTGTTGGTAGGAAAGAAAGGAAAACCAACAAAAAAACCCAGTACTCAGGCTTGTTATGAGTATTGCTTCAGCCAAACTTGCATGTAGTTATTTTATTTCTACATGACTGCCTAAATCCAAAGAAAAAATAGGTTATGATAACTTTTTGATGACTTGGTGCTGAAGCAAGTCATAACATTAGGATTAACAGAAAAGCTAAAGAGTTTCAAAAGCTAAGAGTTTCTTTTGGGACTAATTATTTTCTTAGGTTTTCTCTGTTGATAATGCTTTTGTGCCTAGCGTTTTATAATTTATACCCTTTAGGATAAAGGGCAAGAACATACTGTGATAGAGTTTTGGAAAATCAAAGTTCAGTTTTACTTACCTGTTAAGTGATTTTGGGGGGATAGGGGGAGTTGGAAAGAAACAAGTTTAATTTTAATTTGTGCTTTCTGATCATGCAGAAAATGGATAGAAAAGTACATTTCTTCAGTAACAAAAAGGCAAATTGTTAATGTTAATCGATCATAAAATGCATTCCCACCCCCAATAGGAGAAATTATAATTTATTTTCTAAATTAATTGATGGCAAAACTGGGTGGAAAGAAGGCTCCTAAGTTGACTTTTCAGAATGTGCTTGGAGATAAAAATGCTTCATTTGTTCATCTTGAAACAGGGACAGACAAGAATGGAAGGATTCGAAATACTTTGTCTATATGTTTTCTTACCATATTTGTAGATACAAAATGAATGCAAAACTAAAGAGATAATTAATAGCTTGAAAAAGCCTAAGATTTGCCTTCTGTAGGTGTCAAGAGTATTATATATGAAAATGTTTCTGAAAATGACATAATGGCTGTACAACATGGTATAACTTTTCTGAAATAAATTTATTTTTCCCTGTGAGATTGAAAATGTCTCCAGATCTTTGAGGATGAGCTAGCAGGTACTCTTTTTACTCAGAGATAATAGTAATTACTTAAGAATAGACTTAGATTAGTTCTTTTTAGGCAATCCTGAGTCCGCCTTTGGAGATGTGTTATGTTTTTGCTTTGTTTTCCTTGGTCTCTCTCACATGCATGCTCTTGTTCACATGAGTGAATTTCCTTCAAAACCAGCAGCTTCTCTAAGAAGTCACTTTAATTTAAATGGGAAACGATGATACTTCCATAGTACAACTCAGGGATGGGGAGCCCACCTGAAAATGAGCTTTGATATTGCGAGGGGGAAAAGCAGTAAATGAGTTAGTTCTTATGAGCAGTTGCTTGTGCATGTGTTGCCTTTTCTATTTAAGCAGACAGCTCCTCTGTCAAATCACAATGACAATGATGATGGCGTGCATGAGGAGCTAGGTTGGCATGAACTCCTCACTTCTTCAGAAGGAAAACAGTCTGTACCATCTTCACATAGTTTTCTTGTTGAAGGAAGGATTCTAAAACAATTAGAGAATATCTAGACCAAATGAACTGTAATTTCCTTCAAGAAGCTTGGCAATCAGGAGAGACATGTTCACGTTACGTTTTTTCCCCTTCCAGGCAAGGATCCATAGTCTATAGGTTGTGTCAGCATTCACAGTCCATAGGTAGTCACCATTCTAGAAAACCAGTTACTTTGCCTGTTACGCTCAGAACTGTTGGGAAGTTGGGTGGGAGCTTGTCCAGGTGTAACAGTACCTCCATTTTAGCTGAATGAGTCTTGGAAGTACTCTGTTCCCCTTAGAAAGTTTAGGTTGGATCTGATTGTGTTCCTTTTAAGATGCATTCTTTTCTTCATGATAGTGGTGGTGAACCACTGGCATAGGTGTCAGCTTTAATGCCAGCAGAGGTTTGAACTGTTTATGACAGTGCACCTACAATGCTTTTTTTCTTTTTTTAAAGATTCATCATCTTTAAAGCTCACTGTCAGGTTTTTCAGTGGTGTCTCATGAAAAGGACTGTACAATAAAGGTAGGAATGCCTCTCTCCTGGCAAAAGATCTTCCACAATTTTTTTTCCTAATTTGGAATCTATCAGGAGATCAGTTTGTGATGCAGGAAGGTTTGCATCCTTAGTGATATGTCTTACATTGGCATACTTTTACAGGCCTGAAGTTTTCATAGGTATGCAAACAGCACAGCCACTTGAGGTGTTTCTTCTGGCCACTCAAGAAAAGGGTTTTTTATGTTTGGATATCAGAACATTCCCTTAACACTCCTTTTCTCTAAACTAGATTAAATATACACTTAATATACTGTTGTCATGGAGGTCCTTAACTTTATTCTTTTTCTGTGCTTCAGCATTATTTTGAGTTCTTTCAGAAAATCAGTATTGTATTGTTCTCTGTCACGGTGATGTTCCTTGTTGCAGGCTTTCTTTTCCTGTGATGTCTAAAGGCTGAGGCACTGTCTAATAAGGAGCAGTGTTGCACTTAACATTTTTACCTTTACGATAAGAACGGACTCTAAACAAGATGGTTTCTTGGGGAGCCCAAAAATCACGTGTAATGGAAGTTACTCTCAACTAGATAATGCAAGAAACTTCCATTCACTGAGTATTCATAGAGTAGATTTTAAAGTCAGCACTGTATACAAAATTTAATGCTGTCATCTACCATCTAAACAGCCTAAAGGAAATGAAATAAAAATTTTGTTTCAAACAGTTGAGACTACAGCTCTCTTAAGTCATCAAAGCCTGGGCTGTGCGGCTTTAATGGTATTTTACCTGATTTGTCAGGGCTGCTGGTTGTATCTGTTCCTTTCTGAAATACCTGAGCATTTTACAAACTCTTTATCAATTACTGCTTCCTTTGGTAGGAGCTCCTGCTGACAAGAAAGAACTTTGTACACAATTCAGTGGGTTTTTTATTTTTAATAGTGAAAACAAGACCTGTGGGATAAACAGCTCTGTGTACCTTACAGATAGGAGAGTGGAAAAAGTTGTGACTTGTTGACAAGCCAGTCTCAGTTGGCTTTTTATTGTATCTGACGCATCCTCCTTTCTCAGGACTAGTCTTACCCCTGTAGCTGAATGCAAGCTGATAGCCTGTGGTCAACAGGTCTGTGGTCCCTGTTCCTCAAAGGCAAATGTTTGTTAAGTTGGAATTTGTGTATTTTCATCTTCTGTCCTTACACATTTAGAATTCTCTGTAGGATGATGAACTTAAGGGGGGGGTCTTAATGATATTATTTTACTTCCTTGCTTTCATCTCAAATGTTTAAAAGTTTGTCCAGTCTGCTCATCTAGATGCATAAAGATAGTTTCACTTATATTTATTTAATAAATATACTCTAATGTTAGTTGGAGGAGAGCCGGAATGTTCAAAAGCAGATGAAGATACTGCAGAAGAAGCAAGCACAAGTTGTGAAGGAGAAAGTGCACTTGCAGAGTGAGCATAGCAAGGCCATTTTGGCACGTAGCAAACTGGAATCTCTCTGTCGGGAGCTTCAGCGTCATAACAAGACTTTGAAGGTTAGTTTACTTACATAAATTACAGTGCCATTGGTGGTGGAAATCTTACTTATTAATTACTGCTTAAAATCAAGACTGCTGCTTTTTACTTACCACTTTGCCCATTACCCGCAGAAGATGAGTGTCATGTAGCATAAGTGTATCTGATTTTAAGGTAAAAAATATGGGGACAGTTCAACTTGGTAGTTTTTTTCCCCTCAAACTGGTTCATAGATCTTGCAGAACTTGCAATATGTGATCTTGCTGTATTTGTTTCTGGGAGCAGCGCTGATGACTGCTGGAAGAAAATAGTTCAAGTGAAATAACAGCAGCGTGAAATGGCAGAGTATCGGAAAAGGCTTAATTCTGTCAGAGTATAATGGATGAGAGTGAAATGGAAGAGAGTGAAAAGATTCTTATCTGTGATCGCTGTAGGAAATTTAATTTGTAGTATCAGTGCTGTTTTTTAACAACTGGGTAATTCTTACACTTGCAAAGGTATTCATGTAGCATCTTGCAATACCAGCCGCTGAGTAATGCTGGTAGTGGCAAGGACAAGATTCTCAAAAAGTTTTAGAATTTCTGGATTCCTTGTTCTGTGCACTTCATATGGGTAGTCAGGAGAGCGTATTACGATTGTGGCTTATATTAACTCTAGAAATTGAAACTGTCTAGAAGTGAATTATTACCATTGTGTCTGACTCAACAAAATATGGAAAAGGTACATAGTTTGGCTTGAACACATTAATATTCTCTTATAAAAGGAAGAAAACATGCAGCAAGCACGTGAAGAAGAAGAAAGACGGAAAGAAGCAACTGCACACTTCCAGATTACACTGAATGAAATTCAGGCTCAACTGGAACAGCACGATATACACAATGCCAAGCTCCGTCAGGAAAATATTGAGCTGGGGGAAAAACTGAAGAAGCTCATTGAGCAGTATGCATTGCGAGAAGAGGTGCTTACGTTATGCTTCTAATGGGATTCTGTTAGTTCCTTGACTGTAGGGATCACATAATTTAAAGGGGAGGGGGAAAAAAACCCTAGTACTTCACAGCCACCGTATATATATTTTAAATTATTCTTTTTATTTCACTACAGTGAAAAATTAAGTAGCTGTTTGGCCCACTATCTGCCTTTCCTGTCTGGATTTGTGTATCTATATGCATTCAAGATACACTGAAAAAAATCTTTCACAGTGAAAGCAGTTGAATCGAAATAAGTTGTCTACAGATTGTGGAACCTCTGTGTTTAGAGGCATTCAGAACTCGGGCAAGTTGTGAGCAACTCGATCAGAGTTTGAAGTTGGCCCTGGCTTGAGTGGACTAAGTGGCTTCCAAAGGTTATTTCCAACATAAATATGTAGTAATATTTGAAGTTCTTCTGAATTATAATTTCACATTCTAATAGGAGAGGATATAAGAGTTATACTCTCTTACTTGTTTTTGTTCATTAAGTTTGGGGGATTTTGGCAAGCTCCTTTGTGTGTGTTGCTGCTCTTATTGGCATAGAATCAAAATAGGCTATCATGTTTTAAGATTATATTTGGACTAGTGTCATGGAAGTGCCTGTATTTTAGGACTAACAGAGCTAGCTTTAATTGGCACCAGTATGTGAGCTAGCCAGTTTAAGCTACAGAAATGGAAAACAGCCAATTCTCGTCAAAGAGATGACTAAGCTTCAAGGAGTTCTACAGCTAAGATTAGTTAGCTCTTGGTTGGCATAGGAGGCTTGGAATATATTTTGTCTCTTCCCCCCCCTCCCCCCTCTCAAATCTGAGTCAGTTAGAAAGCTGTCCTGCAGACTCCAGTTCCCCACCTTTTGCTCTTGTGGAATATTTGTATCTACCATGAGATAATTTGGGGAAGAGAAAAGGTAGGAAGCTGCCTTGTGCTACTTTACGGATGGAAGTAAGACTGCAAATTTCAATGATATGTGGAATTTCATCAGCCAAATAAACTATTGTTGCAAACATGGCTTCTGTGAAAGACAAGAAGTGTGTAACTATAATGTATGGTGATAATGGGAGGAAAAAGGCATGTAAAAGTTTTTTGCCAGTTTCTTTTGCATGAAACTTCTAAACAATATGCATCTCCTCACACACATACACTTACCTTAACTGACCAGTGCACTGTTTATATTTGATTAATGTGATTTTTTTCTTCCTTTAGCATATTGATAAAGTGTTCAAACATAAAGAACTGCAGCAGCAACTTGTGGATGCCAAACTTCAGCAAACTACCCAACTTATTAAAGAAGCCGAGGAAAAACATCAGAGAGAAAGGGAGTTTGTAAGTGAATTCTATGTAGATGAAGAGAAATAACAAAACCCACCAAACCATATTTTTCATTATTTAAAGTAAACACAACAAATTGAGGGAACTGCCTTTTGAATGTTAGGATAGATTTGAACATCAAGACTGAGAATGAAGTTTTGCGTATGTGTGCGATGCCTGCAGTATTAATGTCCATGTTCACAGGCAAGTAATGTCACTGTTTGCATTTTCTCAGCAAATGTGCTGGATATCATTTAGGTTTTTCTTAGACTAGGAAATGTCTTGAGTTGAAACACCACAGGTATTTTCTTGCTGTCCTGTAGTTGTAACTTCTGGTTTTATGGTATAAGAAATAACAAATGCAGAATAAAGCATATGCTGTTCTGGATTGTCTGTCCACAGAACTAAGCCTGATGTTTTATTTGTATGCTGATAATCAGCCATTTACTTGCAGTCTTCCAAGAAGGTAGTTTCCAATTGAAAAATAATACTTAGGTGAATATTGCTTTTTTTAATCCTCCTCATGTATCTGTAACTTCCAGGCAAAAGCCTTGCTTTTCCTGTATAATCTTAAAATGGTAATCCTGTGTTGGATTGTTCTGTATTACTAAAACATAATTTTGGAATCATAAACTGATGAAAATCTCTTCAAAGATGAATCTACAAAATGTTGTCAAGTTGAAGCAAGATTGACCTAGTCTGTAAAGGTAGTATTAGTGACTGGAGAAATGGAAGTGGAAAACAAACTAGAGAGGTACAAAACATAGAAATTGCATACAGTTCATTAATGAACTACTCATATAAATTTAGCAGTTCAGGCTTGCTACAGAAATAGAAACACTGACTCACGCTACCAATTAGAAAAGTATCTCAATAAAAATAATTTCTGCATGCCAGCACATGCTTTAAATCATATATATGAAAGTATAGTATAGTAATGAAAAACCTGCGTGAGAAAACATGGTTGAATGGCCCTTGAGTGATGTTAACCTTTCTTAATTTTTTGTCATGGATCAAGTTCTTTAAGCCATTCTTAGGAGTACTTTCTTCCTTATGTGGCTTATTGCCTTTTTTATTTTTTTAGCTGCTAAAAGAAGCTACTGAGTCCAGACACAAATGTGAACAGATGAAGCAACAGGAAGCTCAGCTGAAGCAGCAGGTATTTTTTTTTTTTAATGGAGTGCACTTCAATAACAGTTGTTCGGGGTGGGGAACAAACCACATGAAAAAAAAACCACACACAAAATAAAAAAAAAAACCTCACAAGATATTTGTGATTGTAGTGAACATAACATATGAAAAAAATAACATATTTTGATTCATCAGATGCAGTATACTACTTGTGAAAAGTACTTGGTATTTTTTTTAATTAAGTCTTTAAATTTCTGTAGGTAACTCTTCCGTAGAGAAGTGTGAAGTATAAATTGTAATGACTTGACATTTTGTACTTGCTATTTAGTAGATCTGGAGAGTACTGTTACTGGAAGGTGCTAAACATTGCATTGCAGGAGTTAGTATCCTTTTAAATTAATAGCATTAATATTATAAAGAGTAGAATATATGAAAGCTTAACTAGTGTATTCATTGTGTCTACTTCTTTACCATTTCTTTGCTTCTCTGAAACTATTGTTCTCTCTTCCAAAGGTATTTTTATCTTTTTTTTTTTTCTTAGCTGTTCAGGATGACAGAGGCTCTTGTGACTATGAAGAGTTGGGTGGGGATTTCTGCCCATGCAAGTTTTAAAGTTTGTTCCTTTCTGTTTCCATCGCACCTTGTTGTGGAGGACTGGGAGCAAGCAATGTCATATCTATCCTTCCTTGTAGTTACTCAGGTTTAGTAACCTCAAACTTGGGTATCCCTATCCACAAAAACATTACTATCTTCAAATTGTTTTCTTGCTGTAAACGCTACAGCAAAATCCTCTCTGAGAGTGGAGAGATTCTCCATTTTTTGTGCTGCAGTTCTGTATCACCTGCAGTCACTGGCCATGTGTGAGCTCAGCATGTAAGGCAAAGGGAAATGGTAGGTTAAACTTCATAGCATCTGAGAAGCAGTAGCTGTCCCTTTTGTTATACACCCATTATTGCTTCAGTTTTGTGAGGTTTTGTATTGTCTCCTTGCAAGCGGTTTCATGCCTTTTTTTCACACTTGCTGTACCTAATTCTTTTCCAGGCTTTCTAACAGTTATATTTGAAGTGTGTGTGTGTACGTGTGTAGTTAAATATAATTGCAGCCCCCCACCCCCTCCTTGGTGTGTCCAGTGAATTGAACTTACTAATATCCAGATTCTTTCAAATAGTTTTATGCTGCACTTAGGCTTTTATGATTTTTTTTCAGGTTGGTAACCCTTTATTTAAAATCTCACTGCCTTTTTATGCTGTTTAGTAGTAACAGTGAGTATAGTTTGTGGTTTCTTGGGGCCAACAGATTCTTTGTAGAATTAAGATGAGCTAGAAAATTCAACTACAATAATGGCAGAGTCGTGATCTACTGTTGACAAGGTAGGCTAATGCCTATTATGAAATTGCCTCTACTATTAGAGCAAAATACAATACTTCTGTGCTCTGAATTGTGTTGTCCTACAACCCTCAATGTAAGAATTGAGAGAAGTGATTACTCTTCAGGTGGAGTAAGAAGCTACTACTAAATAGTCATGTATTCTCAGAACATCAAATTACAACAGTGACAGTATTTGTTTTATTAAGAAACATAAGCTATTTTTTTCCTGAAAAACTTTGTTAATTAACATATTTTGCATTTCCTTCTTGATGATTAACCTTGTGGTTCAGGCAAGAAAATTTTCTGTCATTGAATGTTAATGCTCTTCACTTGTTAAAATGTAATGTTTTTCACTGTTAAATGAATTCCTTGTCAGTATTCACTTTCCATGATTTTTGCTCACTGGGTAGGTTTCATAGGTTGTGAATGTGTATTTTCATTTCTGGAATCAATCATGTTTACTGTGTCCCAGCCTTGGTTGTTAGCTTTGGCTGGTTAGGGTGGAAAGGTAGGTCTCTTCTAAGTTTAATTTTACTAACCATGTGCTGAATTTCCTGTACATTAAAGTCCACAGACATTTTTTTCCAGTGGGGGAAGGAAAAATGCGATAGTGAAGAACTGTGATGTCTTCCAACATTTTATAAAACATAATATCCTTTTTTCTTTAGAATATATTACTGTTCTATAAACAATAGAACTCTCTTTTCTCATATAATTTGAATAGCATGTTTTCAGGCAAGTTCTGCATGCTCCTCAAATGGAAATCATAGGATAGCGTAAAAAAAAAGATAAAAAGAAGTTAATGTTCTACTATTTTGAGTTCAATTTTCCCTTGTGCCTTGATATTTTGGTGTTTCTATACACCTGTTGAGATTAATGTTCCTGTCTTTTTCCCAACAGCTTTCTCTTTACATGGATAAGTTTGAAGAATTCCAGACCACCATGGCAAAAAGTAATGAACTCTTTACAACCTTCAGGCAAGAAATGGAAAAGGTAGTTATAGGATTATTTAGTTTCATAAAAAGTAATATAAAAATACATGCTCTTAGTGGGATGCATTTTAGGTTTGATGAGTATTTGCCTTCTGAAAATACATGGAGTATTTTGACATTTGATTTGGATCATAAGATCTCTGTGCAGAAATACTTTTCTGTAAAATAACTTGTTCAAACTGGAATTGGAAAGTAAAGCTAAGTTGAATCATGTAAACCTACTTATGTTGCAATGCAAGCCACAAAATTAAGTCTTTTATTTATTTTTGTAGATGACAAAGAAGATTAAGAAACTGGAAAAGGAAACCATAGTGTGGCGTACAAAATGGGAAAACAACAACAAGGCTCTTCTGCAAATGGCTGAAGAGGTAATTATCTTTTAAGCAGCAGTATGGCTAAACTAGAGTCTGTATCCTGAAGAATTTCATAGTCTTTCAGTTTTAGAGAATTTGAAATAATACACAGTAGCCTCTTCTTGGATTGTCTGCCTTATGTTTTATGTTGTGGACATGGTACTGTTCTCTTCAAACATGGAGAATAAAAGCTGCTATATAAATTGAAACTCATTACATAAAAAAAAATTCAGCCTCATCTTTCCTTGCTTACTGTTTAATTGGTGGGATAATATGTATGAAATAACACAAGCTAAATTAATTTGCTGTATTTTAATATGCTGAGCAAAGTTCAATCTGCTGCAGTAGAAATCTTTTTAAAATGTACAAGACTGACATGAAGAAAATAACCCGTGCATAAAGGATCAGCTGCTTTCCTGCATTGCTGCTGCTTCTTAGATCATAAGGTGCCATTACTTAATTGTAGTCCCGGAAGAGAGGAGCTGAAACAGTTTTCACACAGGCCATAGGCATACAGTTCTGCCTACACTGTCTAATGTCTAGTTCAAGGTATGATCTTGCTAAACCACGCTAGGTCATATATGTTCTTCCCTAGCACTGCTTATCTTTCTCTGTTCTTTTAAGGAGCTCATTAGGAGAGCCATGAGTATGGTACCTTCTGACCTGGATTCTGCTGCAGAATTGTAGATTTGCTGTTTGTATGCCCTTCTCCTCTCTATAGTTACCATTATTTGGGTTGTAATTGGCTGTTTTATGAGACTTCCTATCAGGATCCTAACTGATACTCAGCCCTCACTTAAAATTAGGATTATGTAGTTACATAGTTCTCATTGCTTGTTTCTAAAGGTGTCTGTTGCCACTCCAGCTTAGACAAACCATCTGAAGTGTAGTGGTCAAATATGCTGAGCAGATTTGCTCTAGTGCAGCTGGAATTTGACCAGCTAGATTAATTAAGATTAAATAGGGGTGATTCTTTTCATTAACTTAGGAAAAAAACCAGTTGGATCACGGAGCTTTTATTTTCTTTTGTCCTTCAGAAAACAGTAAGAGATAAAGAATACAAGGGCTTTCAAATAAAACTGGAGCGTTTGGAGAAGCTATGCAGGGCCCTTCAGACAGAAAGGAATGAGCTGAATGAGAAGGTGGAAGTCCTTAAGGAGCAGGTTTCTCTCAGAGAAGCGGATGTGGATCTAGCTGTGCAGGTGTTGCAGTCCTGCACACTCAATTCCCACGAGGAGCTGGGAACTCCCACTGACCCGGAACCAGGAATCCAACCGGATGTGGAATCATGTGTGGCAAACAGTTCCGAAAAGACTGTCTCAACAAGTCCTGTTCCTGGCACTGAATCTGTAGACTAAAATGAAGTGTAAACACTGTATTGAGAGATATATTTTGTGTATAACTTTCTCTGTTGGTGGTAACTATTTGGTTTTGTGGTGAAAATTTTCTTACTTTTTCTACCATATCTGTATTTTCTTAGAACTACTGGACTTATGTGGTACAGGAAGCTGCATAGCAGCTTTAAATAGCTTAAACTATAAATTTTCCACAACTGTGTTGCACATCTGCCTCATTTTTTAAAAGAAAATATTTTTCCATAAAAGGATGCATGTGCGTTTCCTCCCCACAACACAAATCACTGTCGTGGAAGACCATGTACAGATATAACATCGTTCTGGGGAACATAGTGGCAGCATGTCACTTTGGTTTAAAGAACAGCATTCTGGTTTTGTTCGTTGATTTTCCACTTAGTATACTAAAGATTACCCATTTTTCCAGTAAATTTATCTACATAAGGATATCTAATGGCCAGTAAAAAATGTCAGCTTTCCCCTCTAGTATGTTTTCACATGTATGAATGAAAAAGTAAAGGTTCCGAATATAGTAAAAGATATGTTTAAAGGGTTTTATGTACTTTGTGGTATGAAAACACACATTTGAAATAGATCAATTTGCAGCTGGTGAAACAGGGTGTACAACTTTTTGCGGACTTCTCAGGGTTGTGTTGTAAAGATTAGTTTGGACTATTTGCCCTACCTGTGAACATGTTAAATATGAATGTGTGAGAAAATGTACAGCAGCGTTACAGAGTGGAATTTTGCAGTTGTGTAGCCTATTGCACAGGTGTTGGTCATGTTCTTCCCTCTTAGCTGCAGTGTGTCCATCACATGGTTTTCCTGACTAGAGAAATCCATTACTGTCTACATGAGTCTCTGGATTATCTGAAGGGCTGGAAAATAGATATTTTACTGCCGTAGGCGTGGAAGACGCAAGTCTCTGGCATAAAGGCTTTCTCTAATAGCCTTGTCTGCAATGTATTTAAGTGTTAGTTAAGTGTATACTGGTTATAACTGAACATCATAGATTCTCTTGAAGTACAGCGTGGAATTTCTTGAACACTCAACCTTGCAGCTGTACCAGTTGGCAGAGTGCCTTCCCAGTTAGGTTATCTGGTAAAGATACTTCAGATTCTTACGCTAACATATTACAAGCAAAGTTCCCTTGTTAACCTTAAACCATATAGTCTTTTTCCTAGAAAATTTGATACCCACATTTTGACTTCCTTTCCTGAGAGAAACTAGGACCAACGTTTATTTTTTGGCAAGACAATGTGTGAAATAACTACAAGCTACCCTTAACTTTAGTTCCCATGTATTTACTTTCTAGTTCTGGTTGCTGTTGTTTTAAGAAATACGAACATGTGTAGCCTTTTCTGGTACTTAAAGTTCTTTGCACTTGTTTGGGAGGGGATTTCAGAATCAAGCACATCTCTCAATGAGCTTCCCACCCTCATTGCCCTTAACAGTTTAGTGGCTAAATTACTTGAATGTTCAGGCTGCACTGAGCTCCTGATCCTTTTCCTGTAGTAATGTACATTGAAATAATCTAGCTGTCTCTGAAAGAAAGTAGGATTATGGAAGGCCTGGTAAATGTGTTTTAGCTCATACCACTGGGAGGAACTGTGCAAAACTGACATTTTTTAAATGGTGGATCAATTGGGAAGCTGGCCATCTTTCTCCTAGATTTGTGTGGTTTTTGTGTTTGTGGTCCAAGCACAACGCAGGCATGAAAAGAAGATAGCAATGAGCAGTCAAGTCAGGTTAGGCTCAGAGCTTTGAAAGGTTCATCACGCTAGCCGTACGGCATAAAAAATACTGGAAAGAAGTATTTCAGACTCGCTTTTCAAATTACTTGCTTTATAGAATCAAACTGTTTAAAAAATAGTTGTTGCGAGAACTGGTTTTCAGCTAACACTAAGCATGAAGTAATTTTCCTGAGGAAAAGTGAAAAACTTTGTATCTGATGCATCATACCCTTGGCAAGGTAGGACACATAGTTTTCTATTTTTACAAGTTATTATTTGGACATTTGTATCTTTAACAGTTCTTTCTATAGTGCTTGTTCTGTATGGAAACAAGAGTGAATTTTTGGACCCCGCTGCAAGACTATTTTAAAGGGCTTTTAGAGACATGACAGATGTATAGAACAGCAATACAAATATATTTGTTACTGACTTAATATGTAAATGAAGCAGAACGCCCCAAGTGAAAGGCTTTTAAAATGGGGATATCTTTTTCTTTCCTACCCTTAACGTACCCATATCATATCCATTTATCTGGCCAAGGTGAGCTGTACTTTGCTTCCTGAAACCAGTCAATACAGTTTCAAGCATTGATTAAAGAATGTTGTTTTAAAAAAACAAACAAACTAATTTCTATAAGGGATAAGCTCAACACTCTAAAACTGATCTGCCATATAGCAGGCTCTTGCACTGCCAGTCTGCAGCCAAATTGGCTCCAGTAGGGTTTTTAATAAACTTGTATTAATGCCTTTCTCCCACTCCCATAAACTGTTTAACCTGGGCTGTAAACTGATGTAGCCTGAAATAAGTGTGTCTAATTGTCAAAACTCTGGGGCCTGATTGACAGTTTCACCATTAAGATTAAGCTGCAAAAAGCTAAATTATATGTGATGCAAGACCCAAATATGTGTATGCATACACAAGTTAGGGCTGTATCTCTGATGTTTTGTCCTTCCTTTCATTACACCTGGTTACGTTACAGTTCAATTCTCAGGTGTTGCAGAAAATCTACCTCTTTGGACTGTAGATGGAAATAACTGTGAAAAAAAAAAAAGTGATGCAGAAATCTAGTTTGTGCTAAACACACTGCTTTATTTTTACAACCCATGTCTGCTTTCATGAGGAAAAATGTTAAATGAACAGGCAGTCTTTGTTTTGCTTTTCAAAAACATTTTGTAGAGATTTTTCACTAATGTGAATCTGAAATTTTATCTACTCAATTCTGTATAGATTAAGTAAATAAGTATGCTTAATATATTGGACTCTGAGTTTTTCTTTAACATATCCATGTCTTCTCACTGGATCTACTGAACTCATTGTATTTGATTGAAAACTCAAGAATGAAAATTAAAAGATGTGAAGTTGGAGTTCAAGTGTATTGGTGAAGTGAAATGCCCCAAGAGTGGTGCTGTTACAGGGTTGTGCCAGTGACTCCCGTGTCACTGGCGGTGGCCAGTGCGAGCCACGCAGGCCAAGTACGGTAAGTAAAGGGCAGTCAGTACCCACTGTGCTTGCCCAGCGGGCTTCAGGCTGGGGGGGCTGTAAGGCACAGGGTGGGTCAGAGCATGAGGAGCCCAAGCGCTGGCAGAGTCTGTGGCTGCCTGCTCCGAATTCTGCTTCTGCCTTCTGTCTCCAAAATGTTACCCACTGTAGTTCAGTTGGGTGCCTTGTGAAAAATGTGGGGCTTTCTGTTAAAAAATGGGTTCCCCAGTTCATCAAGTGCTCCCAAGTCTGTCATATGAATGTGAGGTCATTTGTTGTTAATGTACAGTCCTCTCCCAGTTTCTTAATAATGCTAAGTGTTTTGTTTGCCTTTTTTTGGTGTATTCCCTAACACTTGGCTACTTGCCTAAACCCATGAGAACTGGTTTTGAGCTCAGTTTTCCTTTATGTATTTTTTTTCTAGGTAAAACACAGATTTATTTTTTTTTTTACAACAATGTACTGTGATGTCACTGTAATTCTCTGAAAATTGTATTAATTTACTTTTTTGAAGACACCCATTTTATAAAAGCTGAGCAGTGTGGGTGAGCAGGCCCCTGAGCCTCTTCTGGAGCTGTGCAAAGGATTTTGGAAATCCAATTACATTGCCTGGTGTCAGTCGCTGTCCTTGCTGTACTTGTTTGCTCCTTCAAAATATTCCTTCACATCTGAGATGTGTCTCCACAAAAGGTGCTGCCTCTGCCCCTACATAAGCATCTCTACTATTTCTGTCCTTTCTTGCGGTGCATACCGATACAGAAGTCAAATCTACTCTTAGTAGTTCCATGGATCTCCACAGTCTTCCTAAATTCCTTACAGAAACTGGTCAGAGATAAATTTGGTTATATGTTACAATTAATAGCTGAGGAATTTTGCCCTTTTATACATCTTTGTTGTTGTTTTATTGGGTGCTAAGTCTCTCCTGTTAAAGTACATGCACACGCACACATGTACACACACATTTGAGGCTGTAATTAACTCCTTTGTTGTGAAGAGTATCTGTGATGGGAGAACCTCTTTCACCAGCTGCATTCTGAGCCCTTTTGAGGCCATTGTTACTAGGATTTCATCTCCCTGGCAGACTGGCAAGTGTGTTTGATGTACTTGAAAAAGATACTTGCTTTTAGGCCCGTAGTAAGTTCTTCCTCACAGGTACTTTTATTGCTCCTTTCTGAATATTTTTTTCCCTATATTTAAGTTTTCCCATTATGTATAATTTTTCTTCTTGTTTAGACATGTCTTCCTGAAAGAATAATGTATTTTCTTTGAACAGCCTAACTCCGTCTCATCTGACTCTGCTAGCTTTTATTGATCTTGCTGACTGGCACCCATCTAGGCTGAACTTTTACGTAATTTAAGAACATTGTACTGCCTGCAAAGACTTTATTTTCATTTCCTTTTAAACTGTTGTCTTTTGGGTTTGAGGCTGAATATTATTTCTTGCTCAACAGGGATGTGGGGTGTGCCTACCTTATGGACTGTGACAGCTGAGTCTTAAGGCAGGCCTGGTGTCTAATTCAAGACAATAACAAGAAGCAAGTCCTACTTTGAGAAAGTTATCATTTACAGCATCTGAAAATGTAAATTCCCTGTTACATCTTGTGGAGTTTTCTTAAGCTGAGGAAATAAATTCAAGTTTCTAATTTTTAACCTTGTTCTAACTACAGCCATGTAATAGGTATTCTATATTGATGTAGTTCACTGTCACTTCCACCAAATATATGTCCTGGTGGTAGTCAAATTAACAACATTAGTTCTGCCAAGTCCCAGATATGTTGCTGGTATTTAATCCATATAATTTGTTGGAGTTGTTTTTTGGGGTTTGTTACCCCATCACCAGTATTCATATGAAACCATTTGATCTTTGTCACGTTGCCTGCTCCATCAAAACTTTTGCTGGCTGACTGTACTTCTGCTGTTTCCTGCCAGGAGTTTACTCACTGACTCTGCTCCTCACCCTTTTCTCCAGGACTTGGTTTTTATGCAGGCTTGATGTTTAAAGCAGAAAATCGTTGCTTTTTAAAGGGGAAGAGTAGTTACACAACTCTTGGAACACTAGGTTACCATTTGTTAAACATGTTTGGCCATGCATCACATGCAAACCCATGTGTGTTTGGGTTTGCAAGTCATTTATCTATCTGATGTACCAGTTCACAGGACAGAAAATGACTTTGAGAAAATTAAGAGAATCTACCACATTGGATTTTCTAGTGGCTGGAAAGCAAAAGGTCAAACTAGGTGCTGATGAAGTACTTCTCTGCAGAGAGTTTACACAGCTAAAGAGTGCACTTTCTTATGCCATTTCAGTGCTG